CACAAACAAGTTTATAGTCCCTGGAGGAGTGGGACCAGGGAGCCGAAGCCGAGCTCAGCGCCTCACCTGCCCCCGCTCCTCCCAGCGGGATTTTGATCAAAAAACTGTCTGTTGCTGTGTGCTCTCTTTCCACTGACGAGATTTTTCCTAATTAGGGCGTTTATTTGCTGCATAAACTAGGGGGGAAAAAAAAAAAAAAATCATGGAGGTTGGTTGGGGATCTGAGGACTTTTTTTTTTTTTTTTTTTTTTGAAGTATTGTTATTTTTCTCATCTGTTGTTATGTAAATAAGAATAATTGCATTACTAGTAGATGCTCGCATGCCTCCTGCTGCGAGAGAAGGCAAAAGTTCAGCAGCCAGGTAGGGACCGGCTGCCTTGGGCAGGGTTTTATTGCCGGGATTAGCAGTGAGAGGAGGTGGAAATTTTTTAAAAAATAAAGTCGGCTCCAGACAGCTCTGGGGCTTGAGGGCTCGGATTCGGAGTCGCCAGCCTCTTAAAATCCTGGCTTTAAAACAGCCAAACTTGGGCAATCTCATTGTGCAAAAGAAAAACCAGATGTTGGGAGAGAAATAACATAACCCAGCTCTCTTAAAGGAGAGTAAATCACCTCTAATTCTTAAAATGTGTCTTTTCTGTAGAGTATAACCAGCACGCTGGGTATCTGAAGTTAAACCTCGGGTCTGGGCTTGAGTAATGGCTCGTAAGCCAACACTCCTATCAGTGCCAGGTACCGAGTTGCTATCAAGAGCCACTGAAGTTATCAGCGGAGTGCGAGGCCAGATTTCCCCCTTGGTCACGAACAGGCTGTTGAATTTGGGAAAGGCGAGGGCTGTAATCTCCGTACCGACGTGTCAAGCCGGAGCCCGGCTGTTCGGTTTGAGTGCAGACAGCTGTTTTCAGAATAGAGCTTGAGGTTCGGCAAGGTCCTTGCACGTGAACCTTAAAATAAGATAGTCAGGTGGCGATTTCTGGCAGGGATTATTCAAGCTGGTGACTAAAATCTCTTTTTGCTTGTTGGGCTTAATAGGGAAACTTTTGCTGCGCGTGGTTTTTAGATTTGTCACCGTGTTTGTTATGCATTGGTATCGGACTGGCACGTAGGACATTGCTCTCTAGTAAGTGATCCTCATAAAAACCACTAATTATTACCTAGCATAGGGGTAAAGGTTGTAGGCGTGCGTGCTGCTGGAGGAAAATGTTCGTTGCTCAAAAGTAGAGCCTGCTTTTCTTTCGAACAGCGAGGTACAGTCTTTCCACAACGTGAAGAGTTAACCTGCACTTAGAAGCACTTGAAGAAATTCCACTGGTGTGAAGTCTTGCCTGCCAGCTGGGGCACAAATTTAGCTTTTGTGTGTGTGTTTATGATATATTTATGTTCACTTTTAAGAAGCAGTCCCCTGGAAAAAAAAAAAAAAAGAATTCTGAATGGAAGCAGAAGTGCTGTTGAACTCGCTGGGGTTTTAATTACCTGTCAGTGCTGTAGTGCTTCACACCCCTGGCTTGTTGCAGAAACTTTGCAGGCTTCGTTCTAATCTGGGCTTCTGTAAGTAATACAGAGTGGAGACAGGCTAATCATTGTTTGCAAGCACAGACCTAAAAAAAAAAATACTGAGCCAAAGTTATCCCTAGTATGAGCTGCACTGAGTCTCAGCTTACACCCGGCTGAGTTTGACTATAAGTGGAGTCCCGTTACCACAAGCTGAAATGCAGATCTCAGAGAAGGTGAAGATTCTAAGGAGAGGGATTTTTTTTTTTTTTTTTTTTTTTCCCCCCCCTTCCCTGCCTTGGATCAAACGATATTGCTGGAAGGAGAAGAAGAAACAGATGCTTTTTTTTGGCAGTCAAGCCATTCGTGTCTGAGAGCGCTCGGAGGACAGAAAGTGGGATTTGTTTCTCTTTAAGAGAGGGGAAATGGCCTTTTGCTAAGCTGAATTTATAGCGTACAGAAGTTTTTGTGTTGGCCAAACGCCCCGAGAGGGGGGCGCACATCGCATGCACAGAAAACGCTCTGGTCCGGTACAGAAAACGCTCTGGTCCGGTACAGAAAACGCTCTGGTCGTGCTGATCTGCACGAAGTTCCTCCCTCGGCAGAGCAGAGGAGGGTTCCTCTGGAGCCGTGCTCCCTCTTGTTCAAGAGCGCAGGGCTTTGCACTTCAATCCCGTCTTTGCCTGTCTCGGCGCGTATCAACTGTTCAGGAAAGTGGTGGTTTATAATCCCTGGGAGCCCCTTGGTACCGCCTGTCCCAACCGGAGAGGCAGGGAGGCTTTTTTCCCGACCTCGCTCGCTCCAGCCTCGCACAGATGTGCTGGGAAGGCATCCGCACTTGTCCCTCGGCACAGGATAGTCTGTCCTTGCGTCTCGTATCTGGAAAAGCCGCGGAGCTGACCCTCGAACAAGCGAGCTGTGATAGACTGTACAAGCATCCTAAAGCACTGAGGTTTCTTGCTATTAATTTTCAGCGTCATGTTTTTCTTTTCTGTGCTATTTATATCGCCGGCCTTGACAGAGCTGTGTGTGGTTTTTGTCCGTGTATTTTCTGCTTACATTCCTGCAGTTTCTTAAGCTTCTCTTGGCTTGTGTCCCTTTGTTCTGGTACACTGATACACGGTTTTCTAGAAGTAAATTACCTGTCCTTTTCCTCCACTCAAAACCGCCTGTAATTAATTAACTTTCCCTGCCTTCTTTTGAGCCTGGCCTAACTTTCCAGCCTTCTGCATAATCCTCTTCCTGACAGACTCTGTCATGAGTGCGGTGGCTCACGGTTGGCAAAGGAAAGAAGCAACTGCAGTGCCCCTGGTGCTGGACCTAACCCAGCTGAGAGTCAGCATCCTGGGGCTGAGAACACCCCCTTACAACTTCTCCCCATTTCTGCAGCACCCTCATAGCTCTGAGATCACCCAAACGTTTCAGGCACAGCTTTGAACACGCTTTGTGCTGTGCCAAGAGGTCGTTCTGTTCTGCATCGCTCATAAATTGTTTCTTTTCATGTTTCCCCCCCACACCCTGCAACTTGGAAGGCTGATTTCGGCGTGAGCTAACCTCCTCCTTGCTTAACGCTGCGTGTAGGCAGACAGACGGGCCTCTCCTCGGGTCATGTTGCTGAAACCAGATCCGACATAACGTAACTTTTATGCTTCCTTAATCTCCTGACTGGAATCCAGCTCTGTGTGTTCCTATTCCCCTTTCTTGTTTTCCGCATTTGTCACTTTTGTCGCTACACAGAAGCGAAGGAGTTTGGGCACCTTGTCTCACCGTCTCTGACTGGAAATAGAGACAGCGGAGAGCTTGGCCTAAGCAGTTTTCTCAGTCTTTGCCTTTTAGCCTTTTGAATCAGAAGAGGAAACACTCAACTGTAATTAACCAAAAATGCCTAATAAAGCTTTGTTAAAATTTCTACTGAGATGAACTCAAAAAAAGAGGCCGTTTCCACCAGCTCCTCTGAACTTCACGCTAAGAAACCTCCTTGTGATGATGAGTCATGTCCAACCATCTGCCAGAGTTTTAAGGACACCAGGGCACCTCATCTCACCCTTCTCCTGGTCTGAAGCTCCAAGTCCATCTCTTCCTGGCTCCCCACTGTGCACACCTTTCCTGTACAGCCCTTACAACACAATATTTTTGATTTAAAATCCGTGGCGTTGCCAGCACGATTTCCAAAACTGATCTGAGCTTAAGCAGCAGGAGGTTTCCGTGGGGCGTTTCCTCTTTCTTGGCAGCATTTCGGTCAGGACGGAATTGAAAACGCTCTGGGCTCCCAGCAGGGATTAGTGGTGTAGAAAAGCAGAAGCTCTATCTTTCAAATCCAAACAACGTTTAAGAAAAATTAGGATGACTTGC